TGTGAAATAGGAAGAAAAGGGGCAAAGGGGAAGGGGAAGTGGGAGGGGTAGGGGAAAAGAAAGAAGGGAATGGAATTAATATGAGAAAATGAAAAAAAGTAAACAAAGTCTTTATAAATAGTGAGGGATGGAGGGGTTCATGGGAGGCAGGGAAAGAGGGAAAAAATAAGAACCAAGAGAGATTATGTAAAGGTGCAAATTTCCAATGATGAATGTAATTATATTGTATACCTAAAATGTACCAATAAAATAAAAATTAAAAAAAAATAGACACCACACAACAGAAATGGTTATAATGTTTAAAAACATAATCAACAGACATTTATTAATTATTAATGGTATGGCATGATTGCCAATTGCAAGTATTTAACAAGCTTAAAAACCAATACATAAGTGTTTACATTGGGACATCAAGAACAACGGAAAATACAAACCATCAAAGTGTATTCTTGTAGCTTAGGAGGAAAGTTCACAAAGATTCTAGAAGTGCTTTATCTTGGACAAGCTAAAATAAGATAATCAAGATAAAATAAGATCAAGCAGCAAGATAAAATAAAGATAGGAAAGATAGAAGTATAGACAGATAGACAGACAGGAGTAAGAGGAAGGAGGACACTTCTTTACAGTACAATGAAAGGCAACTATGGATGTGCTGGGAGTGGTGGGACCAGAAAACCAGTTTGCAACCATCATAGTAAAAATCAAGTTAGGTCAGGATCACCAAAGAACACTAAAGCTGTGGAGGGTAGAGAATGATAAAGAGAAGAATATTTATATGATCTTAAAGTTCTTCCCACGGATTCCTAGTTAGTTACAAAGGGAAACCAGTGATTGTACAGTGGAAAAACAAGAAAAATACCTTGGCTGGGCGATCAAAATGAACATCACCATCAAGGAACAGATGGGCACCATATGCCTCAGGATGTGGCCCAAAAAGAACACAGAGCTACTTATGTAGAATTGAACAAGAGGTACATAACCCAAATCTAATCATGAGAAAATACCAGACAAACCCATGCTAAGGCAACTTCTATAAGGGAATTGGACCATGTTCTTCAAAATGTCATTGTCAAGAAAGATAAAGGCTGAGAAACTGTTCTCAGGATGAAAGTGATGACAACTAAATGCGGAGTGCGTCTCTACTAGAGGAAAACAAGATGCTATATAGAAGCATTCTTGAGAAAACTGGCAAAACTGAAATATAAACTATAGTTTAAATATTACAACAATATCAAATGTCCTGGCTGTAATTACTGAAAAGAATATCCTTATTCGTAAAAAATACTCACTGAAGTAAAAGAGAATAGTATATGCAACCTGTTCTTGAACATTCAGGAAAAAAAAGTATGTGTGAGAAGGTGGTATGCATATACACACCTACACAGAGAAAGAAAAACTGATGTAATTGTGACTAAATGCTAAAAATTGGTGAATTTGGGTAAAGTCATACAGTTGCTCCTTATTCCATACTTCCAATGGAAGAAACATGAACTTCTCAACTTTTCTATAAGTTTGACACATTATTATTCAAAATAATAAGTTAGAAAAAAATGTTAAGACAAAAAAAAAAAGCTGTATCCCTGTGAAATGTTCTGGACTACTGTGTTAGAGAACCAAAAAGTGGTTCCAATGATAATCTACACGATGTCAAAAGAGCATGCTTGAACAAAACTGACTAATAATGTGTATGACAGTTCAAAAAACTAACACATGTAAGTGAATAATATTAATAAATTGAGGATTACAATGAACATCATTCTACATTTTTCAGTCCTGAAAATTTGTACTTTCAAGTTGACCTCAAACCTTTTGGTGGGAGGTTCTCATGGGGCAAAAAGGGGATCACTTTATATTCAGAGAATGAAGCACACAGCTAAAGTGGTTTCTGCTTCTTACAAACCTCTGCAAGCTTGTCCCTATAAGAATAAAGAACAAAAATTATAGCCAATTCCCCAAACCCACTAGTGCCCCACTTTCACCAGGGACCAACTTTATGAGTGATTCTAGAAATGAAGAAGCAAAAATAGTTGCTTAAAAAGAGGACCCGCCCCCCAAAAAGAATGCAAAACTAGCACAAACCTGGAGGAGGAGTGTGTTTCCCACTAAGGAAGCAGGACAGGAAAAAAACATTCGATTTCTGGCATTGCCAATCATGAATTACACCTGGAAGTGCTGGCCCTCCAGAGCACAGCCCCATCACAAACCTTTTGTGTAGCTAGCTTTAAGCCACAAATGTGTGAGTCACCATTAAAAACCACCTTAGCAGCACATGGCATTTCTTTCTTAGACATCATTATCACCAGGGCTACGGGTCTTTTTGTGGGTGCTCAGGCAACCTTTGGTTTCTACTTTTCATAAATTTAAATACTGGGGTGAAATGAGTTAAGCAGAAAAGGAAAAGGGCCCAAGTCATGACCACTCTCAGCTCAAAACAGCATCACCAAATATTAAATCTGCCAAAGAACATGACTGCTGATAGAGAAGAAGATTCAGCATGTACGACTATCCAATGCTGCTATGATCGGGGTAGCTACTACACTGAGAGTACAGAGTGCTCAAGAGTGAAGAGCAACCACAGAGCCTCAGGAAATCCCAGGTCCCCGGGGCATTCCCAGCCACAAGAATATAAAAAGAAAACAGAATATGTTACTTGGAGGCAGCAAGACTCTGTGGACACCATCTTTCTCATTCAGAATTATACAATAAATGACTCACTCACCCAAGCATGGATGCACAGTAGCCAAGCACTACCAAGGACATGCTTCACCTTCCAGACAGAGGCTCCGAGGGTCTGAGCATGTCCTGGCTGCTGCTGGGCAAAGCACTTACGTTTCTCCTGAACGTAGAGGTACCCCTCCATGGTGTACGGGCTGATGGTCTTGTGCTCCAGAGGGTTCTCCTTCATCTTCTTCATCAGGGATTCCACTTCTGACCTGGTGCCTTCAAACCGGTTTCTTGTCTAGAATGAAAGGAGTTTTACTCAAAGAATCGGAATCTCTGTTTAACAATTCAGAAGATCTAATAAAATCTAATAAAATTCTTAGATCTAAAAGTGGATCAGGAACATTCAACCTTCTAAGAATTGGGCCAATATTCACTTCAAACAAGTACACTTTGGTCTTAGAGGCCTAAACCTGAATGACTCTCAAACACTAGCAACCATCAAAATCACCTACAGAACTTACAGAAATTGCAAATGCCCAGGCCTTGCTCCTAGAGATTAATTTAGAATCTTTGGGCCCAGAAATATGGATCTTAATCCCAGGTGATTCTAACTCAGATGGTCCAAGGGCCTTTCTGCCTTCAGGACTGAGGTCCTTACTTCTCCAGCTACAGGGAACAATGCTCACTCATAGCTCACAGATGGGCCCCTCCTCAAAGGGGAGCTGCTGTACCCAGGGTGGCCTGTAGCTCCTGGCTTCTGTACCAGCCCTTTCCAAAGGCCCACCCAGCCCCACACTCCCACAGCACTAATGGAGGCATCTGCATACAGCTCAACTCCCCCTACCATGCTCCATGCTCATTCTTTCAAAGGAGTCTTTGATGGCTTTACCCCTCCCCAACACACACACAGTAAACCTACTGCATGCAAATCTCCATTTCAGAGACAGCCTTCAAAAGAAGCCAGCCTAACGGAAGAGTCATGCTGTTGTAGAACCATTTCTGAGACTGCAACTTCCTGTTCTCTGGGATGATGCAGAGAACCATATAAGCTTCAGACTTCCACAGGTCATGCAATACAACTCACATAGAAACATTTGGCTATTTCCTATACAACAGCACCCAGAGACAACATGCAGGCCAACATGGTCCACCAAACACTGAACAAGGTGACTGGAGCTCTGGTAAGCACTGACCAAACACCCTAAACAGGAGTCTGTGCATCAAAAGGTCCAGTGTTTAAAACTTGGGAGAGAACACTGGGAGTGAACCGCATGGACCTGGACTTCCTGTCACCTTTCCTAAGCATTGGACAAGAGCATGTCCTCTGCACCAAAGGTCAGCGTGTGCCCCCAGACCATTCCCTGAGCACACATTCTAAGGTTTCCTGTAGCCAGGCAGCTAGCTGCAAAGAAGGGAGGCTGGGCTAGGGCGGGATGTCCATTGCCAAAGGAAATCCTGACTAGAGGGACAGATTTAAAACAATCAGCAACAGCACTTCCGGGAACATAAGCAGTGCTTTGAAATAATGGAGAAGAAGATGATGATCTGACCCACATAGTGCTACTGAAATGCCCATCCCCAGCTACCCTCTGAACCTGAGCAAGACCCAGCCTCCGTGCCTACATTCCAGTTCATGCAGGTGGGGTCACTGGCCACTAGACCCAGATTTTGGTTTTTCCTTCCCTTAACCAGAGAATGGAAGCCTGTCCCCCTCCCTACTCACATTCTGTATGCTAATGGTCAGCTGTGTCTTGAAGTCCCCAAAATCCTTAGCCAGTTCGTAACCATGGTGATAGAAGGTGAAGAGTCCTTGCAGGAAGGCCAGTAGCTGTAATAAAGGGAAAAAAGCAGAGGTCGTATGTGCAGGCTGAAAAGAGGTGTGACATAGCTGTGTCTGAGTTCCCAACACTGATTTGAACGTCTGCAGCAGGGCAGTACAATGGCTAGCATTTACCAAGCTCCAAATGTGCGCCAGGTCAGGTACTTGCTGTTCCATGACTTGTCTTACTGAATACTTACAACTATGAGCTAAATATTACCATTATCCAATTTAATAATGAGGAAGTAGATTTAGAGAGGTTAAGGAACTTGTTCCAAAACACACACAGTAAGTAGTAGCCAAGAGTTGAAACTAGGTCTCCTTGGCACCAATATCCATGCACTTAGCCTGTGAGCTTCATCACTCCCTAAGAACATTATTTCTCGAGAAGCCAAAGACCAAGGTTCAAATTTAGTTTCCTTCTGTACATTTGTAATATCAGGTTATCACACAGAAAAGGAAGGTGGTGTATTCAGAGTCTGCAACCTACCAAGCAAAGTGAAATTAGACTTAGCTAGACTTGAGCTAAGGCGCATTTTGAGCTTTCCCTAAACTATTCAAAACCAAATACCATGGATTCCTTCATTCAAACAGTCCATTTTCAGTTACAATGGTTTCCCTGAATCCTCATTTCAATCCCCTTGGGCTAAAAGGTAAGTTCATCATTGTTTAGTCTTGTCCCTAGTGAATACTGTAAACATCTGTTCGGCCACAATTTTTCTAATGCTACTTCATGTTCTCAAAAACTGTCCCCACCCTGAGCCTTTGCCAGCCTTCACTTCTCCAAAATAAACAAACAGTCCTGCAGTCTTTCCTCTCAGAGCTGAAACCCAAGTCTCACGGGTGGTATGCGTTCCTGGCTCCTTCCCGAGTCCGGCACATCTTGCCTCAGTTCCAAATTTCAAAGAAAAAACACAAAAAGTGGTTGAGAAAGATCAGAGCCCCAAGTCTATCACAGTTCAGCTCTCCTGTGTGTGGGGACCATCCCCATTCTTCAGCTTCTGAAGGCTCACTCACATTTTCTCAGCGGTCCACACTGACCTCCCTGAATTACCTCTAGCACATGTTATCCCAAGACACATTTGCTTGGCGCCATATTATTGTATTTGGTGTTCGGTCCCTAAATGAATACATCTTTCCTTAAACATAATTCCATCCCACCTCTTTTCACTTAACTCTCCTCTTTGACAGGCAGTCTTTTTTTTTTTTTTTTTTTTGGTACCAGGGATTGAACTCAGATCCTTGAGCTTGCGCAGCAGGCGGTGAAACCACTGAGCTAAATCCCCAGCCCAAGAGGCAGTCTTAATAATAACAGGTAAGGGATCTCATCCCACCCACCAATCGCCTCCTTTCCACCTGCTGTGGCAAGCCTGGTAAGCACTATAGTAGGCACAACCCAGACGGGACTCTGCCTTCAAGGTAAGTTACATGGCCAGCCCCGTTTATTAAAGAGCTGTGTACTGGGAAGTCCAGCAAAACCCAATTACAACAATATGGTACCTTACCTCTGCCACTGTCCCCAGCACATTCTATTCCCTTAGATTCTCATAGGAGGTGGGTGAGCAGGCACTGCTGGATTCTCTGGCTTAAAACCACCTAGTGGCATCATATACATCCCTGACATAAATCAACATACAGCTGCCAAAGCTTAATAACAAATTTTTTTTCAAAGATGATCACACCCTTTGGACTATTCTAAATGAAATACTTTTCTGAGAGTAGGGCCTATACCTTTCCCTCCAGGAGGCTCCAGTAGTAGAGGAGAAGGGGCTCTCCTACCAAACCTAATTCCAGAATTCACGATGAAAATCATTCTTTCCTTCTTCTCATCTGTGACCTCCCTGCAGACTGTAAATGCTGTATGCCATGACTTTCCAAAGCACTGGGCCACTCCTCTGCATGAGAATAATGCAGAAGATAAACAGCTAAATAAATTCTAAGGTTATTCCTCCTATTAACTCTGATTTTCCTTCTCTTAGAATTCTCTTCTCTTCTCTTCCTTCCAAATAGCTCACTAAAATGCCTCCTGGGCATAGACACAAGTGCTCCAGAGGCAGGCGGTGACTAATATTTATTTTGATTTTTACTTTGGTTCTGTGCCTTCATTGTCCATTTCTCTACAGAAAACAATCCCTTAAATAAGTGTTATTTTTGGCCTACTTTCTCCTCTCATAGCATCCATTCTCCCCTCCCCGCCTTCCTCCATCCTCGTCCCACATAGTGCATGAACCCTTGAACCTATGACCCAATGGGAAGTGAAAGTCCACTCCTTAGGGGGCAGGGTGAGACCCACAGAAGGACTTCAGAGGTGGAAGGATCCATCTGCTTCAAAGAAATGCTTCTACTCAAACACAAAGAGGAAGAGCTTGCTGTAGCCCCATGTGATTATCCAGTGAGAGGGGTCAGCTCATCCACTGAGCTACCACAAAAATCACAAAGGAAAGGACTTCCTCACCAATCTCTGCCCTCTTCCCATGATTAACTACAAGCAAAACCTATTAGCTGGCTGACAACTATATACATATATTTTTTTAAAGCAAAAATGGAACTGCTGGAATTAGTGCCAGCTGCATCATTCCAAACTACCTGATAAACTCAAGTGTCAACATTCATAGAACAGAATCATTGTTATGTGCAGAACTGTGCCCTATAAAAAAGATATGTCCAAGTCCTAATCCCCAGTGCCTTAGGATGTGGCTCAATTTTGAAACAGGGTCTTTACAGAGGTAACCAAGTTAAAATAAGGTCATTAGGGTGGGCACTAATACTTCTATAAGAATAACATGGTTGGTATCCTATAAACATGAGAATTTAGATACAAACACAAACATGCACAGAAGGAAGATATTTAGGTAAAGATGGAGGGTTGGAAAGATGCACTTATAAACCAAAAAAACATTGTGGGCAAGCTACCTGAAGCGTGGAACAGAAATGATTCTTTCCTTACAGACTTCATAGAAAGCATAGTCCTGCCAACACCTCAACCTCAGACTTCAATCCCTAGAACTACAAGGCAATAGATTTCCATCAGATTAAACCACCTTGTTTGTGGTACTACTTTGTTTCAGCGGCCACAGCAAACTCATAGGCTCTAGGGATCACCATTCATTCAACAAAGAGGACAGCCAGTAGAGAGTGATGAGAAGCTGAGCTGGTTGAGCCACAAAACTCCACTTAACTCATCTTTAACAGGAGAATATCAGCAGGATCTATTAGTGCACAGGAGGGATAACAGTTAATTCCAGCATGGGAGTACAGTCAGGAGCTGTTCTGCAAAATAGAGATATCATCAAATGCACTGGGGTCCAGCTCAAATAGGGAACGAAGGGGGCCAGGACAGGATGCAAAAAACAAGGAAAGAATGAAAATCTGCAATAGGATGGAAGAGTGTGGAGGGACAGGAGGATATGGCCCTAAGAAATACTGAGGAAGTGAACTCAAAGGATGTGGTGCCTGATGAACATGGGGAATGAGTTCCCACAGCATTAACCAATCTTCAGTTATGAAAACTCGGGGGAACGGAGAGGAGCATGGCTTCAGCTTCAGGAAGTCAGTGTGTCTGATCTGCTATCCATGTTCCCAGAACACTGCTTGCACTTACTTTCTAAGAAAAAAAATGAACATGATCACTGTGTACAGGGGTTATTTGAAAGTCTAGAAGATTCCTTTTGACTGCAGCCAATACCTGTGTGCCCCAGAAATTTAGTTCAATAGATTTGCTGATTTCCTTTCCACCTGTAAGCAATCAAATGCTGCTTCACTAAGATCAAGAGCCAGATCAACCTAGTTCTGCTGTTTACTTGATACCACCTGAAGGGGTCAGATCTGTAAATGTTTCAATTTCTTTATCTGAAAATAAGGATAAGGACAGCACCTACCCTCAGAGATGTTATGAGGACTGAATAACACAATGTAGCAAAAGCACTTAGCATAGTACAACAGTTTCAACTAAGATCATCAATGGTTGATAGGTCTCCCACTACCTCAGCAGCTATTATGTACAGTAGCTGCCCTCTTCCTAGCATGCCTTGCCCCCTCTCCTGTGTGACATCATGCCAAGATGGTTGCTCCCACCAAAGAATAAACCCTTCTTCCCAGCATGCCCCTGTTCCCGCCTAGAAAGTAACCTAATACTTGCTCACTTCCTACCACCTAGTGACATCACCATCACCGGCTCCTCCATTCCCTAGTCACTACCTCACTCAACCCCGCCTCAGCCCCTACAAACCCCACCCCAGTCTCTATAAAAGACTCCCTGCCTCGGCCATATTGCTTTTGTCTCTCCTTTGTTCAGAGACAGTCCGGCAGATCTATTCCCCTAATAAAGGCTTGTTGTGGCCTGGTCTGGTCTTGGTTTTCGGCCCTTTAACCTGACAATGGTTATTTCACATTTTCTATATATAATCCAGACCAGTAGCTCAAACTGTACTGTGCAGCAGAACCACCTGGAGGTTGCCAAATTTTAATTGTGTGCTAATCAGGGTCTATTTTAAGAATTTTACATGGACCAACTCAGCTAATCTCCATAGCATCTTTGTAAGATAAGTGGTACTATTATTCCCATTTGTGAAAGAGGAAAGAAAAGTTCAGGGAAATGACTTGCCCAAGAACACACAGCTAGTAAATGGCAAGCTGGGTTTTAAAATCAGGCAGAGTCCTTAACTATGATGCTATGGATTCTTAAAATGAAAAATCCCTGAACTCCCTGAGACTATAACATACCACAAAATAATGCCAGGAAATGGAATGATAAACCTTTGCAGTTATCTTTCAAAAAAAAAAAATAAAGGAAGCAGAGGGGTGGGGGGGAACCCAGTCAGATGAGCAAAGCCATCCAACCAACCCGAGCTTAGCTCTGCTAAAGGTCATAGATGAGTGAAAAATAAACGTCGGTTCTGTGTGAGGCTGTGTGGCTGTCACTCAGCAAAAGCTAACAGACACAGTACCTGATTCACTACACTTACTGGGAGATCAAAGTCAATAAGAAAAAACCTGCCCCAAGGGCCAGG